TCTCTCTATCTCTCTATCTTTCTATCTTTCTATCTTTCTATCTCTCTATCTCTCTATCTCTCTATCTCTCTATCTCTCTATCTCTCTATCTCTCTATCTCTCTATCTCTCTCTCTCTCTCTCTCTCTCTCTCTCTATCTATCTCTCTATCTCTCTATCTCTCTATCTTTCTATCTTTCTATCTTTCTATCTCTCTATCTCTCTATCTCTCTATCTCTCTATCTCTCTATCTCTCTATCTCTCTATCTCTCTATCTCTCTATCTCTCTACCTCTCTACCTCTCTACCTCTCTACCTCTCTACCTCTCTACCTCTCTACCTCTCTACCTCTCTACCTCTCTACCTCTCTACCTCTCTACCTCTCTACCTCTCTACCTCTCTACCTCTCTACCTCTCTACCTCTCCCCCTCCCTCTTCTTTCTTCTCCCTCTCCCTCTCTCCTTCCTTCCTTCTCCCTCTCACTCTCTCCTTCCTTCCTTCTCCCTCTCACTCTCTCCTTCCTTCCTTCTCCCTCTCACTCTCTCCTTCCTTCCTTCTCCCTCTCACTCTCTCCTTCCTTCCTTCTCCCTCTCCCTCTCTCCTTCCTTCCTTCTCCCTCTCCCTCTCTCCTTCCTTCCTTCTCCCTCTCCCTCTCTCCTTCCTTCCTTCCTTCCTTCTCCCTCTCTCTCTCTCTCCTTCCTTCTCTCCTTCTTTTTCCTTTTTGTTAAATGCGTGCACTTTTGTCCCTGTCCCTGGGAGGGTCAATGGTCATGCTGTCGAACTGCGTGTCTCGTCTCGTCTCTTGTCTTGTCTTGGGAGTCTTGTTCCATTTTTTTTTCTTATTTAACTGTTTGCTCTTAAATTAAGGCGAATTGTTTGTGTGTGGTCTTCGTTACTCGTTTCTTTTCCCATCTCGATTCGGTTTTGTTATTTTGCCTGATCTTCCGTTTCATTCCCGTTTGCCTTTTCATTTTTACTTCCCCTTGGCGTGTGCGAGGACCTCCCCCTGGGATGCGTGACCGCGTGCCTTGCCTTCCGCCGGAGAGAGAGAGGACCGCAAGGGAAGACGTCGCGGCTTGTAATTTCGCCCTTGATCCCGGTGGTCGTGGGCATTAAGGGCTGTTGTTGCCCTCTAAAACTCCCGGTGAATTTCCTTCGCTTTCAAATTTTCAATATTTTATGGCGCCGCGGCGGGAGAAGACAAAAGACGATCGCGATGCGGCCCGGGAATTATTTCAGGCCCTTATTAGTTTGCGTAAAATAGGATAAAGAGGGAGGAAAACGAGGAACATCGTGTGAGTTACGCGGGTGAACGCATCGAAGCGAGAAGGGCGTGCCTCGTGGTAGTGCCAATCACGGTAATGGCACCTGCCCGAAGATGCCAATCACGGTAATTGCAGCCGCCATAAGTCAGCGTGTATTATAGCACCTGAGGGCGGTGGTCAACACCTGTCCGGTGAACACGGTTATGCGCACTCGCACACGGCTGTAAGTCCATCCACCGACACATGTAAACTTATCCTCACGCGCGGGCTGCCCCCTCCCACCCTGCCCCGCCCCCTGCCCCGCCCCCTGCCCCGCCCCGCCCTGCAACCCCCCCTCCCACCCCAGACTGCACCTTCCCCAAGATTGTACCTTACCTGCGCCAAGGAACACCGAGGAGGCCGCATTTCCAAGTACTTATGGGACGTGTGTGTTTATTCAAATCATATTCGAATCCAGGCAGACAAGATACTGGCGTCACATACACAAGCGTACATACGTATACACAGTTTTTATTATAGGGGAGAAGTATGTTTATTGCATGTTGAATAGTAATTTTATTTAAATTTGTGTCTTGTGAATATATGTATAATCATACATTTAACTTTCGCAAAGCCTTGGTTAACCCCTCGATTCTCCCTCCTCCCCCCGCAGGCGTCGGTGGTACAGATCAACGACTCCGCGGAGGCGCTGCTCTCCTCCGCCTCCAACGCCCGCGTGGCCAAGAAGATCGAGACCAAGCTGAGGGAACTCAACACCAAGTGAGTACAACATTTTCCCTTTTGTTTGCATGAAAGTGAGAGCTGTGGAAAATTTGTTCCAGCAGGCTTACAGGTGCTCGGCAACAGGTGTTCTTTTTTATTTTCATTTCGCTATCGTGAGCAGCTGGTCGTGTGGAAGGTATGGCGATCATGTTTATTTTTAGACACCCTTTCTGACACGTAGGAAGACACGTCGGCCTGAATTGACGGAGGTCCACGCAGCCGCTGCTGTTGACAGAGTGACAGCGGCACGGGTGAGGGATATTGAGTACCGCCCCGTTGCACGCGGAGAAAATGTTGCAGCAGTAGACCCGGACCTGGGGTTAAGGGGGTGCGTGGGTTTGTAAGGAGGGGGGGGAGGGGGCCTAGCCGTCAGACGTCTATCAAATGCGGGCTCGTTAGTATGGAAATGATTAGGATGTGTATCAGTTTTAATTGGGTCGCGATTGGGGACTAGATATACGTTAAGTTAGTGATGTATTAGGTTTTCATGAGGCGGCGGGGGAGGCGACGCGATGGCCGGCCGCGGTGTCAAGGTAAAGTTGCAGGCCGACGCTCGCCTCCGAGATAGTGTTATCGGCGCCGTGTCCGCTGTAGGGCTTTCCAAAGGGTATTATCCTGTAAGCGAGCCTGGCTTGACTTAGCGGGACTATAGTTTTTTTTTCCACTTTTTCTTTTTCCCTTATGTTGTCGAACTATTAGCTGTCAACTTCTCTCTCTCGTGATATTGGCGCTTTGATGAGGAGGGAAGACACGTTATAGCTGTTTTGACAAGAGCTCCTTCAAACTTGCTGGGCTTGTGAATGAGCTGTTCGGGCTGACAGGTTGAGGGCGCGATAGGTACCGGGTCGGGGGTAGGGGGTCTGGGGGGGGAGGACGGAACAGCTGGCTCGAACATCAGTTTGTGAAATAATACGGGATGTCGGTCACACCAGGGATGTGGGTTGGGTTGCTGCTGCTTTTTTCCGATGTGGGCGGCGATGGGCGCTGGTGTCGAGAGACAGGACGTGGGCGCGACTGTTGGGTGGGTGAGATGATGGCATGCATGTAGCGGTGCATGTATGTACAGGCTAAGGCTGGGGCAGGGGACAAGTTTTTTTTTTCTTCTTCTGTCTCTGTCTTTACTGGCTCTGCATATATGGAAATGCTACCTTCAGGTCCCTCATACTTTACTCTAGTTTATTGTTGTCTTGCCTGCGCCCCATCTGTCTTCGCGTCCCCCCGCCTCCACGCCGCCAGGACAGGTGGAAATGCCGCGCCTTGTTTTCCCGTTCTCTTTATACATTTTTCTATCGTTTTTTTTTACGGATCTTTGGGGTGATAAGGCTAGACCTTGCGAGAAAGAAAACCCTGATAAAGTGTACTTGTATTTTTCCCTCCGGTTTAATTTTTGTACGCGTTTTATAGTGAAGATCAGACAAGGATTTTCGACACTAAAATACCAGATAAAGGCGAAATGAGTGACGCATTTTCGACGGTGGCCGTCATCCCGTGAATATGCCTCGTCACAGGGAAAGGTCACTGTCGTGCCATCATTTCCGCGTCTTTTGATTTACGGGAGATGCTCGCTGCGGGTGGCATCCACATGCGTAGCGGAGAGAAGCGTGGGAGGTGGATGAGGTGGAGGATGGCCGTCCAGGTGGTCTTCAGACAAAGGACGCTCGGAAGCGACTATTTTCGATTTCTTTTGTAAACGTCAGTCGTTTATGGGGATGAGACTTCTTTATCTAGAGAGATTTATTGGGAGTGTAAAGATTTTGTTATTGGGTAGTTAACATGGAGGAAGGAAGGTTGGGAGACGGACACTGATCGTTGCACCTACATGACGAACAACAGGTGGCACAGACGCCTCCGCATGAAATGCTTTGGTTCCAGGGGCACGTAAGGAACCCGCTGAACTTACAAGAGTGAGCGTTATACCCCAAAAACCAGTTCTGTAGCGGAGCCATAAAACCCCTGGACGGTCACCGCCCTTCGCCCATTCTTTGCCTCTTTCTCTTTCCTCTTGATCTGCCTCTTCCATGCAGTGCCTGAGCGCCGCCGAGGCATCAGCACGAGGCCCGCGACGATGAGGAGGAAGTTGACAGAGGAAGATGACAGGGCAGGGAAGTTGACAGGGCGGGGAAGTTGCTGCGCCTCACGGCCTCTCGTGGTAATGTCTCCGCGGGGCGCCAAGGAGGGACTGGGAGAGGGGGTGAGGGTAGAGGGAAGGAGGGAGGCACAGGCGGGGTTGAAGGTAAGAGGCAGGGGTGTGGAAGGAGTAGCGGCGGAGAATAAAAGTGAATGTGCCTCAAGCTTGAAAGTTGTGCAAGTGCCGGGGTTCAGTTAGCGAGGTGGTTCGATGACGAAAGTTTGAATGACAGACCGCATTTTCATTTCTAAACGTGCATGGATGATAATGTCTTTAGATGAAGAATTCGTTGCGACAGGACCTTCTACGGTGTCCATAAAGTGGCGTATATAGACAGATGGTTAGATGGGGCGGCATTTCGTATCTTGCAACAGACGGAGGTTGTGTGGAGGACAGAAGTGAGTATTTAGGATGACATTTATCTGAGGTTGGTGAGTGTTTCCCCAGGAATGTTGACATGAAGGATCCTGGCCCACTCGCCTCTCCTCGCCCACCTACCTACCCACCTACCTACCCACCTACCTACCCACCTACCTACCCACCTACCTACCCACCTACCTACCCACCCACCTACCCACCCACCTACCCACCCACCTACCCACCCACCTACCCACCCACCTACCCACCCACCTACCCACCCACCTACCCACCCACCTACCCACCCACCTACCCACCCACCTACCCACCCACCTACCCACCCACCTACCCACCCACCTACCCACCCACCTACCCACCCACCTACCCACCTACCCACCTACCCACCTGCCATTTTACGGTGTAGGTTTGGGCTTCCTCTCTTACTGATCAAATTTTAAGTTAGGTTTAGGGCAGAGACCACTTCCACTTGTATATGTAGTATATATTTTTG